TTCAAGGGTCTTCAGGGGGCAGAGGAGGATGCCAAAATAGTTGAGGATATTTATGATGCTGACCTTACTGAAGAAATCAGACCATCATGGATTGAGCAGAAGGCCATGCTCGCAAGGCTCTTCAATCAATCATTTCTCTTCTTGAAACAAAAAGCTAACCCAAAATGTCTAGAGGGGGATTCAAACACAGCTTTTTTCATCAATATGTTAATCACAAAAGAAGACAACAACATATCAAATGTGCCAAACTTGATGATGGAACTTGGGCATTTGACCACAAGTGCATTGAAGATGAGGCCATTGCTTACTACACCAAACAGTTCACTAGTGATCCTGCCTATACATGGGACTCAAAATCGCGATCCGGATCGTACGATTGTACGATTCTGCAGATCGTTGGTCTCTTTCCGATCTAAATTGCGGCTAAAATTGCAATTTCTCTTAGAATTGTATGGATTGACGATTAGGATCGTACGATCGATGAATCACGTGAGATCGCCGATCCAAAACAGGGAGGGAGACACTTGCGGAAATCTGAAACGCTTGGTTTCGTCCCCTAGGTTTTTATGTCGTGATCTCTCCCAAGGGCTGTTCCTTGGTTTTACGGCTAGACTTTGCCTCTCTCCTCACGAAATTAAGGGTTTCTTTTTGTAACTTTTTAATTCTATATTACTCCGTATGTTTTTTTTCCTTTTATGCTCCATTCTTAGTCCTGTGGGGGTTTTTTTTAAGTCTAGTGGGCAGTGATTTTTTTGGCAAAGTTTCTTTTTTTAATTATTACCTTTCTCTTCATACTTTTTATAAACAAATTTTTACCTTTCTTGTTTGTTTATATTGGGCAGTGGGCAGTGATTTTATACACCATTTATATTGGGCAATGGTTATTATTTTTTGCCCAACATTTGTTTTGATACACATACACACACACATACACACACACATACATACATATATGTAGGATTTTACGATCCGAGTTACGATCTTACGTGGTTACGATCTTTATTAAGCCCAGCGATCCTACGTAGAATCTCGAGTTTGACTACCATGTGCCTATAGGGGTGGGTACTAAGGGGGACCTGTTGGACAACATACCTAACATCATTACTGAAGAAGATACCACAATGAACTGCCAGATGAAGAGGAGGTCAAGAAGGCTGTGTGGGAACTCGGAGAAAATAGTGAAGCAGTTCCCAATGGTTTAAATGGACACTTCTTTAGATCATATTGGCAGATTGTTAAGTTGGATGTCACTAAAGCCATACAAGAAATCTTTCTGGGCTTTCCTCTACCTAAAGCTGCTGGTGCCACAAGCATTGTGCTCATTCCAAAAAAAAAAAGCAACCCAGCTGATTTTGGACACTATAGATGAATCAGCTTATCCAGTTTTGCAAGTAAGATTGTTACAAGAATCTTAGCTAACAGAATGAGCAGCTAACTTCCCAGAATTATTTCTATAGAACATTCAAAAAGGACTTGAAACTAAGTCCCATATTTTCTGGCTAAAGAAATGGCTCACCATTTGGATAATAAAGTGAGAGGGGGAGCCTTATTATTATGCTTGATATGTGCAAGGCATTTGATAGGGTTGAATGGCTCTTTTTGCAAACGGTTCTTAGCAAATTTGGCTTCTCAATAAAGTTCCAAACTATCATTCTCAACTACCTCAAGGGCTCTTTCTTCTCAGTCCTCATCAATGGCAAAAAGCATGTTGCTTTTTCCAACCAACTAGGGGACTCAAACAAGGGGACACTCTTTCTCTTCTGCTTTTCATCAAATGCTCAGAGGTCTTCACAAGAGGCATCACAAAATGGACTAAACAGAGACTCATTGAAGCCTACAATGCTGGTAGGTTTCCCCTTGCAATCAGCCATCTAGCCTATGCTGATGACTTGATCTTCTTCATTAATGGAACCCTTGGTAATGTTAGAGCCACCATGCAACTGCTTGCTGTCTATGAAGAATGCTCTGGCCAACTCAGCTGCACTCCCCTATATGGAAGAGGATAGCTGATCTCCATGAATTTTCCCTCAGCTGCACTGGTATGGAAACCTTAAACAGCCCTGTTTGGCTCCTTGAAAGCGATGTGAGCTTCTCTCTTAGATCATCTTATGAACAGATAAGGGCCCCATCCGCTACCCTAAGATCTCATGAGTACATTTGGTGCAAGCATCATGTCTCTAAAACCCGAAACTGATTAGATCCAAAACCAATAATACCCGAAACCGATAAAACCCGAAATCGATTAGATCCAACACCGATAATATCCAAATAAAATTTGAAACTGTGTTTGCCTTTCAATAAGCATATTATGTTTTTAAATTTTTACTTTTGTTTTACCATTTGAACTAATTACATTACTTGCTCATTCCCTCATAAAATATATTAGCATCTTGAAAAAAAATACAAAATCTCATGCCTTAAATTTATTATATTTGGAAATTGAACAGAAGTTATACATATAAAATATTGGATGAATAAAGTGAGCCAACTATTTTGGTATTAACAAAATTAAAGGGAATACAATATTTGAAAAACAAGGTGAAGCATCAATTGAAAAAAACTAGATTAAGCGTGATAGGTGAGTGGGAATTGAGAAATGGGTTGAATTCTGACGTAAGAAAAGTGATAGGATTAAGGAGAGAAAGTGAAAAGGAGTGGGGAAACTTTGAGCTTTAGGGGGGGTATGTCTTTGATTTGATATTATATGAAAAATACAGTACTAATTTTTGTTTAAGTTACAAAATCTAATTAAAATAATCTTATTTTGATGACAAAACTCCCTCCATCTCAGAAAGAATGCTACATAACGCAAAACAAAGCAAAATTTTAAGTTTTTAAAATTTATTTTATTTAAAGATTGGTATAGAAATAAAAAATGTTTACATATTTAAAAAAATACGTCAAAAGTTTTACAAAATAAGATGTTACAAGAATAATAGTTTATTTTATCAAACAATCAATGATAACGCACAAACAAATGAAATTTTCGTAATTTTTAAATACTGAAGTGTGATATTCTTTTTGGGACGAAAGGATTATATGATGAATTGTATGGAATAACTAGATTTTATTCTAATTTCATCCAATTACAATAAATTTTATTGGTTTGGGAGTTAATTTGATTAGTTTCAAACCAATTCACTCAATATAACTCAATAACATTAGAGATGTTAGTGCTAGCGTTTTGAAAAGGCTCTGTAGCGGCAGCGTTTAGTGTTATCATTTTCAAATTTGATCTACACCATTACATTTAGGTGTAAAATTAATTGTATTTGACTCTATTTAATTTAATTTTATTTAATTTCAACCAAATACACTCAAATAATTTATAAATTTTGCACTCAATTGAATAGAATTCACTTATTTTCACCCAATGTCACTCAATTTTTACCAAATTTTGTTCAATTGGAGTGTAAAACTATGTGAAAAAACATAAAAAGAAACATGGATAATTAAATTTTAATTAAAATTAGAAAATAATATATATCCAAAATATATTTGATTGAAATATATCCGAACTGAAACATATCCGAAACCAAAATATATCCGAACCAAACTAGATCCAAAACTGAAATATATCTGATTCAAAATCTATCCAAACTGATTTATATCCGAAACGTATCTGAACCGACTCGAAACTGAACCGAAGCCAAAAAATGTATGGAATCAAATCAAATCCGAACCGTAATTAAACCAAACCGAATTGAACTGATTATAACATATATCCGAAAGATATCCGAACTAAAAAAATCCAGTCCAAAATCAATCCGGTTAACCCGATTGCCACCTCTAAGCAGCACTAACACGTCTTAAGGTGATATCCAAATGGTGTAACAACATCTTCATGGAAATGGACGCTTTGGAAGTCGTCAATAACATCAAGGTACGACTTTTGGTAATATCAAATGCCTGTCAACTTTAATCAAGGAGACGATGACAAACTATGGGCATGCACGTAGAGAAGTGAATATGGCGGCTCACCACCTTGCTTGCATCAAAGTTTCTACTCTCACATTTTTCCTTTTATGTCTGCCTTACCTAAGCTTGCTAGTGGAGTGATTTGTACACACATATAAAATATATAAAGGTTGTTCTCTTTTGATGCATAGCTGCATTCTTTGCCTAAAATTTCGTAGCCATTAAGGAAGAATGAAGTTTAACGTGCCATATTGTTTTAGACCATTATTGACGTGAAGCTAAAATATTTTTTAAAATGTCTCTAAGCTCAATTGCCATTTGCCATTGAAAGCCAATAATAAAAAACAAGACTAAAAAAAAGCTTTGGCTAGATCACTCAAAAAAATTGGTGGTGGCTTGGCACAGTTGTGTAAGGGCACAATGTTGGCTAGGACGATAAGCTGATATATGCAAGGGCGATAACAACACTTGCTTTGAATGAAGAATTTGTGAGGCGGCAAATGGAATGTGGTTGCTTAGGCAAGGGTTGCAAAAGACTTTTTATTTCAATGGTATAGGCATTAGATTGTGCATGCAGTCCTAGGTTCTATCTCTTGCCCAGTTAGATGAACCCTAGATGAACATTGTTCTAATTAACCTTAACAGTGCTGCAAAAGGGTCAAAATTCTCTAACATTACTTGAACAATGCATGTAGTGAGCCAAAGATATTAGGGTCGAGCGGCAGAGTTGTGGCTTTCCAAAATGAGAGGTCACATGTTAGAACCCAAAGTTGAGAAAGTATGTATAAGCAAATACAACATTGTAATAGAGTTATTAGTACCAAAAATGCATACAGTGTAGTATAACCTTTGTTGTCTCATGGTCGCATGGTCAGTGCTTTCTAACTTTACTGATTTATTTGTAAGGAGTTAAATATTTTGCATTTTTGTTGAGTTATATTTTAATTTGTTTGTTCAAAATCATGTAGTTCATTTTATATACTTTTGACTTCTTGCCTGCTTTGTTCCTACACCTCATTGTCCTTGCCTGGTTGGTCTTGTATTGTTTTTGGAAAGCTAATGCTGGTTTACCAAATTTTCAGGATCCTTATTTCCGAATGACACGTGATGTGGCTCCTCGTATAGGCTATCATAAGCCTGCCTTAATTGAATCATCATTCTTTCCTGCTTTACAGGTATTGCCTTCTCTAGAATGTTGCTTGTTTTCAGGACTTTTCTATACAATCTTCCTTTTTCTGATTTTGGATGGGTTGGAACTTGGAAGTGGGAGGATTGGAGGAAAGAATGTGGTAGAGGATAAAGAATGCATGTAGAGGGATAGGGCAGAGTGATGAATTTGGGTGATGTGATACAGTGATACTAATATTTTAAATATTCTTGTTGTTATTATTAGTTTCCTATTTTTAGTCTTATTCTAATTTAGTTAATCTTTCTAAAGAGATTTATTATTACTCTCCTATTAGTAATCTTATTATATTTTAGTTAATATTCCTATTATTGATTTATGTTTATTAATGTGATTACGGTAGGTTTCTTGCAAGGCTTTGCTTATTTATATTCAAAAAGTCTATCAATAAGATTATGGTTGAAGTCAAATATCTAATTATAAGAAGCTAGTTACATACTGTTCTCTCTCTCCTTCCTACCACGGACAGGGATGAATCAATATCCTCTTCTTTTATGTTCACTAATGTGTTCGCAACAAATTGATATATTAATGAGTAATGATTATGACCGTATCAGTGTATCACAATGCATGTAGTGAAAGTATAAAGATGTGCCAGTTCTGTGTTGAGATTTGAATTGACGTGTTCTCCCTTTAACCCTTTCATGCTCTTGACGCTTGGCAGGGACAGAAAACTGTTTATATGATTGAGTATTTTTCTTCCTCGTGTTCTTTTTTATCCAAACTAGAGACACATTATTTTCGATCACCCAAGCACCATGGATAGTGCAGCAAAGTGATTGCACTTTTCTCCTCTGAGAAATTTTGAGTCCTCACTTAGATAAAATAAGGACATGGAGTCATTGATAGGACATAATGATTTTTAACGCAATGGATATTCATATACTGGTTGAAGTCTAATTAGGTATCAAGGCACCAAATAGTTCTTTATCGTTAATTTTTATTCTATCCAGGTCAGGAGTTTTAAGGCAGTACAGCAAAGGAACCTATAGCTTCAATCACATTTTCCCCATTAGATCTCGATTTCCACAATTATTGCTTGAGTACTATAAAAGCACGACTCCATAGCAACCAAATTTATTCTCTGAGATTCTCTTTGTCCAACTATGCAAAGCTTTTGTTCTGTTTATGGTCCTTTTGTGCTACTTCATTATGCCATCCGTTAAAATTTTGATTCTCTGTTGGTCCTTCCATTTGATCTTTTAGGGAGAGACTGGAAAAATGAATGCAAGCGTTCCTTGTTCTGCAATATATGTAACAGATTCTGCAAAACAAATAAAAGACAAGGTTTGTTTTAGTACATGCTTTCCTTTCAGCCTTTTTAACAGCTCAGTACTTCCAAACATTAACCTGTTACAGAGCTAATTCCACTTTAGTTCTGTTATAACACTTCCCTAATTTCCCTTTCAACTCAAAAATTGGATTTGAAATGCCCGTTTTCTGGAACCAAAAGCATTAGGTTTCCATTTGCTGGGCATGTGGGCGATGTGAAAAATGTTTCCTCGTGAGAACAAGGTTCTTAAAGCAAATAGATTAATGCTCCTGAGAGTGACTATTTTGTTTTCTTCTCTATTTGTAACTATTCCCAGATAAATAAGTATGCATTTTCAGGCGGGCAAGATTCTATAGAATTGCACAGAAAACATGGTGCAAACCTTGAGGTATATCTTTTCTTAGTTTTATTTGGTCTGAATATTATGTTTACATATCATGCCACAGTTTGGATGTTTTACTGAAAACGTGCACTTGTGTTTTTAATCAAAATCTTATCATCAATGAATTTTTAATCGTTTTGCTTAGTATTTAAAACTCTTTGTGGAAACAGAATTTTATTAGGGGCTGTATATCTGTTGGTTCTTGGAAATGACATGATTTTTGTTTACCTTTGTATTCTCTCTATCCTTTGCACATGAACATTACTTGAAGCCTTGGTGTTTTGTATTTTATACTTCTATTTTTCCCCCCCTAACCCAACCACTTCTCTTGAAATTTGGGACATTGTTCAGGTTGATATACCGATCAAATACCTGGGATTTTTCCTGGAAGATGATACAGAACTCGAGCACATTAGAAAGGTATGATACTCTATACAGAATATTTGTCTTTGGATAAAAATTGTAAATGCAATAAGTTGAATATCTGGCTTGTATGATCTGTTCTCCTGAAATACTAAATATTTCTCATTTTTAGGAGTATGGTGCTGGGCGTATGTTGACCGGTGAAGTCAAGAAGAGGCTCATTGAAGTTCTAACTGATATTGTTGAAAGACATAAGCGCGCTAGAGCTGCAGTTACTGATGAGGTACATGAATTATCTTTACTAGTACCAGTATACGAAGTATATGGAGGATTTTTCTTTTACTCTTCCTTACCCCCTCCCCGAAAGCCACCCACCCACCCACATAAACACACACAATTTAGAACTGTTAACTCGTTTGAGATTATGATACCTGTTGTGCTTCTTGTCCTTTTTTCTGTGCGCAGATGGTAGATGCGTTCATGGCAGTACGCCCACTTCCTAATATGTTTTCCTGAACAAGGTTTATATTATCACCAAGGTTCTTTTGACATTAGAACCTTATATTATTATAAATTAGAAGCTTTACATTCATTTTATTGGAACTGTCTGTGCTGGGGAATTTTGCGGTTAGTTGTGGACAACACTATTGAAACTTGTAATTTATGGGGCATTACTATAAGTGAGATTTAAGGAAGCATACTGAAGCAGATGAAAGAACATACGTACAATATATTCATTTTGGTATCTTCTAAATCCACAACATATCAAAACAGCCTCATTTAGAGGGTTGTGGTATCAACAGGTACCAAATTCGAATTTTGTTTAAGCTTTATCAAACACCCACAATAGAATTCTGATATCAGAATATATCAAGGCCCATATATCTTTCTCCCACCAAATAGGACCTTAGAAATTTGGTGGGGTGTTTGGGTTGGCAATATACTTGCAAAAATGCTAGGGGGACCCCAATATTTTGACACCACATGCACACCAAGGTCTATACAGACACACCTGGACATTTAATGTGTTTGCGCACAGACATTAAATGTCCAGTTGTGTCTGTATTGGCCTTAGTGTGCAATTAATGTCAAAATCTTGGGGTCTCCCTAACACTCATATACTTGTAAGTTGTAATTGCTTATCACTAGAAAAATCTGAGCTTTGAATTTCTACCCAAAGACCATAGTTTTGTCAATATAGAGTCAAAACCATCAAAATTGAAGACTTGCCTAACCGAGATGAAGACTTCACTGAAAATTCACATGCTCGAGTGATCTTTTATTAACTGTACTCCTTAAAATATACTGTGTATATTCTCTATAAGCATCACTAAAATATACTGTGTATATTCTCTATAAGCATCACTCATTCTTCTCACATCATCTATTTCTAATCTCAAATCGTTTTCTCCTTTAACTTTCTCCACTATTCTCTAATTATTTCCTTTTTTCACATGTCATCTTTTCATTTGTACAAAAAGTAAAATAAAAAAGCAATTGCCCAATCACTTTTTTTCTTTCTCCAGTGGAAGGGAATATTATTCCTCAAGGACTTTCTCTCCCATCTATTCTCTTCTTTCAAATCATTCTTCTCATCTTTTCCCCGCCACATCATCATATTTCTTCCCATTATTGATGTCCTAATACGGAGCATCAGTTTTCCAATTCAGAGAGTGTTGATCATCCAAATTCGTTGATATTAGCATAAAACTTTATTGATTTTTATAAAAAGTATAGTACTCCCTCCGTTATTAAAAACACTTCCTTTTTCATTTTTTTCACTTCCAACAAAACACTTTCACTTTCTATTAAAAAACCAATTTTACCCTTACTTTTTCATACCCCACCTATCACATCATACTTTTTCTCTAATAATCTACTCATCGCATCTTATTTTTACTCATCACATCAAGGGTAAGATTGGAAGTCAACTATAATTTAACACTTATTCTTCCACTTTTTCAAAGTAGGAACTCTTTTTGAGAACGGAGGGAGTATTACTTATGCTTGAATTGTATGAAGAAAGTTGTGCATTGTATATAAGAAAATATGGGGCCCCGTAAAACTTAATGTGGGTCTACCTATGGGTCTCCTTGTTAAATTGTAGAATTAATTTAGGTGTATTCCAAAATAGGGTACTCCATTTGTACTACAGACATTCACAAACACACAGACTCTCCATGTCTGTGTGGAAGCACAGACATTGAGAGTCTGTGAGTCTGTGTATGTATGTGGTACAAATAATGCATTTTAATGCATTGTCCTAAATTTTAATCATATGTCTGGCCTCTTCTCACTTTTCAATCATTTTAATGCATTTTTTAGGTCATGTTCTCTTCACCTGATTTGAATGATTCTGATCTGATTGAAATAAGTTCTGATCTGATTGAAATAAGTGGCTGCAATGGAAAGCAATGTCCTAAGTTTTAACTTCCCGGTTTGACCGGAGCTCATTTTAAGGAGGGATAAAAATTGAATTAACTTTCCCAAAATGCCCCTAACTTCTACTCCTTCCAAAATCTCTTCTGTAGAGTAGATTACACATCGACGAGAGGGCACCTAATCACACTCTTAAAGGAAAAAAATCCAAAAAAATGAAATTAAAATTAAAGTGCATCTTGCAAATAATTCTAAATTGGAAAGAATGGATTCTCACAACACAGACCAAGATGCAAAATTGAAACAAATCTAAACCACAACCAAATGGAAACACATCTGATTCTTGCAGCGTGGCACAAAATCGTATCAATTTTCCGCAACGGCGTCCCCAATCCAAGTGACTTCAGAGGCACCCCATAACAAGATCTGCGACATAGAATTTGCCAGAGCTCGTCAACCATCTTTGAAGTTCATCAATTTTCGAAAACATCAAAGCTTTGTCATCGTTAAAAATCGAGTTTGTTATTGCTAAATCGGCTACCCCTCGTCGTTTTAACCCAATAAACCGGAAGATGAAATTATTTTCAAAAGAATAAAAAATGAAGACGAAGAGAGAAGATGGAGAGAAAAGAGACATCTCCTCCCTGCAAAAATAGAGAAAGGTGAAATGGGATTGAGATCAGATATAAGGTTCTTGGTTGAAGAGAAGTGCAAAGGATAGAGGAGGTGAGATGATCGGATAAGAATGGGGGGTTATTGATTAAATGTGGTTGGTAGTGGTGGGAGGTTGGAGAATTAAGTGCAAGGGTATTTATGTCTTTTGATAAGGGAAACTTATTTTTTTTAGAAAGTGAGAAGTTAATTGTAGGACGGCCCGAAAAGGAAAGTGAGAAGTTAATTTTAGGACGGAGGGAGTATATTATCTCCTTTAAAAAGAGTAAAACTACTAATTTGGACAATTCAACAAAGCCCACGTTAAAAACAGAAGTCCTATCCATTATGCAATATATGAGTATGTGTTTTTCCCAAATTAATTTCAAGTTGAATTAACTACCAAGATGAAACTCGTTAATTGAGAATAATGCTCAATTTAGTCGATCCAAATTAGTTTCAAGATGAATTAATTACCGAGATGGTATTCGTTAATAGAAATAATGCTCAGTTTAGTCTTTCAACTAACGATAATCAAAACGATGTTAAAATTTATACCATTTTCTCCAAACAATCCTTTTTGATTGGGTACTTTTCCAAATTAGTCTACTTTTAAAATAAAAAGTCATTAAATATGAAAAAAATATTTTTAAATTTCATAGGATGACAATATAATAAATAAAACTTTAAAGCTAATTTAATAACTTAAAAATAAAAGTTTCTAATTGTTTAAAATTATTTAGAAGAATACCAAGTTAATAAAAGATTTAGAGCATGTTCTTTAGAGTTTAAACTCTCAACTTTCATTTCCTTTCAGTTTCTTCCAGTTCCTTCCAGTTTCTTTCAACTATTTTCTTTTTCTTCTAACTCTTTATACTCACCAACCAATTACTCTAAAAACAATATATTTTTAATGTGATAATAATTATTATTATAACTATAGTTTATAAATTATTTTTTTCATCTCACTATTTTTACGATTCACATTCATTATTATTTTTTATTCAACTTTTTAAAATGAACAAAACAATTTTTTGTATTTAATCTACATGATAAAATAGTTATGGATAAAATAGTTACATATAATGTTTTAATAATCTAATTTTATATAAGACCTCTCACCTTTCCCTTTATTACTCAATTTTTTCTCATTTTTATTTATTTTAAAATTTAATTTTTTTGTTTTTCTAATTTTATAAAAAAATTTGAAAGTCAAAATAGTTTAGAGATAAAGACTAAAATAGGAGTAAAAAATAAAAAAAATGTACAAAAATAAAAGTTCTATGTCTTTATTCCAAAAACAAGAGTTACAATGAAAATAAAATGTAAACCATGAAAGAAAAAAAAGGTTTGATTACATTATGTGACATATCTGATATTTAAAATAAAATCTTGTAATATATAAAGTAGAATTACAAATATATTATTTTAAAATAAATACTGCATAAATAAATTGAGGTGCAATGTAACCAGAATAACTTTTTAAATTTAACATTTTGATATTTATGCTTACTTTATATTATATTTTTTTTTCAAAAGTAGTTGTATGAAAAAGAACACTACTTTTTTTTATCTTAAAGAAATTCATTAAGATAATGTCATGATGATGATGATGATGATAATAATAATAATAATAGTAATAATAATAATAATAATAATAATAATAATAATAATAATAATAATTTATAACAAGAATTAGAATGAGAATAATATAAAAATTCACTAAAATATTTTTTTAAAAAGTTTTTTTAGGTTTTCTAATTTTTTGAAGTTTTTTCAGTTTCTTTCAGTTCCTTTCAATTTCTTCTAGTTTCTTTCAGTTCTTTTGAATTTATTTGAGTCCTTCTAGTTTCATCTAGTTTCTTCCAACATCCAGTCTTAAAGAACAGGCTTTTAATGAACGGTTACATCCATTCTAAAATAAAAATCCTCCTTTGGTTTACGATATTTGACCAGAGTTATTTCAAAATTAGGACATAAATAGATGACATTTTTAAAGTGTTTTTTACATGATATATTCTAAATCACTATAAATAATCCAAAAATGTTTACTTTCAAATTTATTAAACTTTTAATATAGTAAACCAAAGTTTCGGATTGTTTACAATGATTAGAAGAATATAATGTAAATAAATATTCAATAAATGTTATCTATTTGTTTCCTAGATTTGAAATAATTTTGGTGAAATATCATTAACCAAAGCAAGAGTTTTCTTTTGGAACGGATGTAACCGTTTATTAAGTATTTTATGTTGGAATGCATGAGTTCAACCCTTTCTGTGTTGTTAAGTGTTGACTCACAGGTTTTGATAATTGACAAACACAATTTATTCAAGTCAAGATCAAAGTGCTACAACGACAAACACAAAGACTTGAAGTGCCATTCCTTGAAGTATTCAAGAAGGTGCACAGGATTTTATTGGAGTCCGAGACGCGTTCGGAGCGCCTAACGGAGGACTCGGATGAGTAGAAGATTTCCGAAGACTTTTTATTTATTTGAGTCTTAGGAATTATTGTAAGGATGACAAAAATATCTTCTCTCCAAAATTATTTTTATGAGAGTTAAAATAAAAATTATATTTATTTTTGGAGTCAGTGGAAAAATCTTTTTAACTGTTCAAATACATTTATTGAGTCAGTTACAAAAAGTGTGTCAAACATTTATCAAAATATTTATTTTGATATTAGATAATATTTTTGGAAAGCAAAAATATTTTATTCAAATATTTTTCGTGTACATCGTTTGACACACAAAATATTTTTGGACTCACTTTTACTCCCTTATTCAAATTCATTGAATAAGAGGAGGAGCGCTCTCTGATTCCCGTTGTCTCAAACAACGAGTATTAAGCCAACTCTTTATCTATCGCAACTGGCCTTGGGCCCTTTGTGTTTGCGCATTATTTCTTTATTAATCGATTACCATCTCTACATTAATCGATTAGATCTAGTTTCACTTTCACTTAATCGATTAAACCATAAGTGGTTAATCGATTAGTTATTCTTGTTCAGCGTTGGATTTCTCAGGTCTTGAAGTTAATCGATTTTTTCCTTCCTTTTAATCGATTAGTTCACACAGAGCCTTCTAATCGATTAATCCCTTTAATTTAATCGATTTTCCTTCAGCTGCATTAATCGTTGCTGATGATGCATTAATCGATTATTGGCACTGCATTAATCGATTATTATGCTGCATCTTTTCTGCACAGCTTCTTTTCTTGGACCAACGGATATATTTCTTCACCTTCTATTTAAGCATCCTTGGTCATTTTTCTTAACAAGAAACACTCAAATATTCCCCATTCTTGAGGTGTTAATCCTCCATCAATCCTTCCTCAAATTTATATTATTTTGAGAGAAAATATTTGTTTTTAAGAGAGGTTTCTTGTCATCCATTAGAGCTTTAATCATTTCTCTTATCTACTCTTTTGAGAGCTATTGTTGAGAGGTTGAAGAAGATTGTTCTTCTTGTTGTTCAAGGCTTATGTGATTTAAGTCTTGGTTGTGAAGTCTTGTAGAGGGCATATCTACGAGCGGTTGTGTCGAGGCTTGTGGGATTCAAGTTCTCGAGTTGTAAACGGTTTGTTAAGCACCCGTAAGCTTAACGGAAGTAGTGGTAGCTTCGAGAGAGTCTCTCGGAGAACTGGACTAGCCACGAGGTGGTGAACCAGTATACATCGGTGTGTTCTTTGCCTTCTCTATTTTATTTCCGCTGCACTTACGTTTATTTTTTTAATCCTGCGAAAATCGGTAAACATTCTCAACAACTCTATTCACCCCCCTCTAGAGTTGCACGCCTTGTCTAACATTTTATTTACATTGTGATCTTCTAAATAATTTTAAACAATTATAAACATTTATTTTTAAATTATTAAATTATATTTAATGTTTTATTTATTATATTCTCATCCTATAAAATTTTGAAATACTCTTCCATATTTAATGTTTTTTTAATAGATTAATTTGAAGAAACATTTAATTAGTCGAAATATCAAACGAAACATTATTTTCAATTAACGAATCACATTTTAGAAATTTACTCTTTTTATTAGATTCATTTTTTGGCTAGCTTGAGGGTCACCAACTTGGCGCCTTGGCGGGAGAGTAATGTGATTTGTGAATTGTGAGTAGAAAAATTGTGCTATTCAAAGAGGGAATAATCCTACAAAATCAAGCCTTGAGAGTTGAACCTCCATCTCCATCGCAATAATCCAAACGGAAGGGTTCAGATTTTGAATCTGATGGGCAAGAGCGACGGCAGCCAGCAGCTGGCCGCGGCGAGGAGGGCGTACCAGCATGCCAAAGCGGAGGGCAACCGCCAGGAAGAGGCCAGGTGGGCGAATGTTATCGGCGACATCCTCAAGAACCGTGGCGAGTACTTCAAGGCCCTCAGGTGGCTCCGCATCGACTACGACATCTCCGTCAAGTACTTGCCGGAGAAGCACCTCCTCCCTTCGTGCCAGTCACTGGGCGAAGTCTATCTCCGCCTCCAGGACTTTGAAAACGCCCTAATTTATCAGGCGAGCTTCCAAACCCATTTCTAATTTTGTTCTTCCCTCCTGGCAACTAGATGGTGTTCTGTTTGCGTGCTGTACCCATTTTATTTCATGAACAGCTGCCAGTTCAGCATTATTTGGATCACTACACATATTAAAATGCGTTGCTTGTTTTGATTTTTACTAAGACATTGGTAATGGGTTACTCTTTGGGTTTTTGGGTTTTACTCCGTATTGTGTTTGTAGCTGGAGGGCATCGGATTCTTGAAGTTATTTTCTTCCAACTGACCTTGATTGCGCTCAAGTATAATAGATTTCATTTTCCCTTGTTTTACTAGCTTGTCATTTTCTATTTTTCTTATGACAGAAAAAACATTTAGATCTTGCTAAGGATGAAAATAATCTTATTGAACAACAAAGGGCAACCACTCAACTAGGGAGAACGTACCACGAGATGTTCTTAAAGTCCGAGGATGATCATTGCTCTCTGATAAATGCTAAGAAGTATTTCAAGTTGGCAATGGAACTTGCTCAAACTCTGAAGCGCAGTCAGCTATCTGAGAAGTTTTCATTTGTAAAGGAGTACATCGATGCACATAATAACCTAGGAATGCTTCAAATGGATCTTGATAATCCGGAGGAAGCCAAAACATATCTTTTGAAGGGATTAGATATCTGTGACGAAGAAGAGTTGAGTGAGAATGATGATGGGCGAAGTAGGCTTCACCATAACCTTGGGAATGTTTTCACAGAACTAAGGAAATGGGACAAAGCACGAGAGCATATTCAGAAGGATATTGTTATATGTAACAAAATTGGGCACTGCCAGGGAGAGGCGAAAGGATATATAAATCTTGGCGAGCTGCATTACAAGGTTCAAAAGTATGATGAGGCTATGACTTGTTATGCTAAGGCTCTTCACTTAGCTAAATTGTTGGAAGATGAGGATGCTTTGGTTGACCAAATAAATCAGAACATGCAAATAGTAAATGAAGCACTCAAGGTACGGAATGAAATTGAAAAAGAAGAGCAAGTTCTCAAAAAGTTGGTAAGGAAAACGGAAATGACCAGAGGCACTGATGGCGAGAGGAAGTGCTTACTGCAACAGTATTCATCTCTTGTTCATCTCATTGAGAAAGCTAGCATAATTTTTGCATGGATGAAAGTATGCCTCTATTCTTACAACACCTTATGCTGTTTACATCTTTTTAAAACTTTCTGATTTGCTTCTCTAATGAAACAAAACATTCCGCCAAGGCTGCTATATGAAATCTGCCAAAAAAAGGATGTACTTGCCTTCTTATGTGAGCAAGAATTATTTCCATACAAGCGATTTTTCTTAATTTTAATGTGTTGGAATATTTTTGGTTCAATTTCTTATTAGGTTCTAGGATCTGATAAGAGGTTATTTTCAGTGTCATTTTGCAGAAACTTAATTTTAATAAAAGTTTATGTAAATTGTGATGGTCATTATGTTGTACAAAAATAATTAGTTTGTTAGCAGTTAGTAGTTGGACACTAGGACATGACTTGGATTGAAGGTGCTTACTCTTCTCCTTTAATTGTTCCTGCTAATTGTTTATAAATTGTACACCCTCCATCCCTAAAAAAGTCCTTTTTATAGACTTATATTTGTCCCAAAAAGCTAATTTTCATTAGATCTAATGTATTTTTTAATTAAAGAAAAGTATACCAAACTAGTTAAATAGGATAAATTTAGTAAAACCAACAAAGAAATTTAAAATTTTAGCCACAATGGATGATTTCCAGTAGTTGTACCATGTTAAACTCTAAAAGTTGTACCTTGGTGAAAATCACTGTTTTATGGGACAGGTAGTTATACCTATTGGAAGGAAGACAATGACATAACTTGGCTAACGCCCCCCTCCC